GAGAAGGGAGAGAGAGATCTCTCTCTTTTCACATTTCCGCGACTGAAATGGCAGGCGGGAGCGATAGCTAGAGCAGCAACGTTTAAGTTTGGACGGGAGGAACGAAAATAGCTACGACCGTGGTCATTGCTTTCTTGCCAGACAGTACTCGTAAACAACGATATGTACGATTACTAAGTGTCATTTCTGAAATGCACAAGTACAGTACTTCGAGTGAGCGAATGTTTAGTTTCATGCCACGTACTCTATGTGTCTCCGGAGTTATTTTGTTTCCATTGCACCAACAAATATTGGGAGGAAAAACAAGTAGGGGTGGTTTAAAATTGACAAAAATCGGCTTTAAAAAAACGAATATCTTAAGTACGTTTGGACAAAGTGTAAAAGTCTTGAAAAACGAACGGTTCATTGACATCAAAAAGAACCTAAGATACCTAAGAACGTGTTACAAAACTTTTCATCTCAACGGGGCAGTTACTTCAGAAATACTTCGGAGCTACGACAAGATACGACATAAACAACAAAATATTGATGTTTCTAAACATTGAGGCTCAAAATTAAAACATCAATGTTAATAAAACCTACCCAAAACCAACGATGTTTTTAAAATTGGATTAGTTCATGAGGGTGGATTTAATTTGAACGTGATTGCTGGGAGCCAGCAAGAAAAAACGCGTAAGATAATTTCAAAGCTAAAACTGTTTGAGAAGTTAGCTAGTTTTATGAAGAAACGCAAGTATGGCGGTCTGTAGGTTTTCGAGTTGCGCTGCACAATTTTTTGACTGTGTTTTAAAACGTACGCATTTGGAGAATGCGTACATAGCAGCAAATTATTTTTGTTTAATTTCCGTTAGATAGCCCAAGTGTAAAGAAGTTATATGCCATACCGATGAGACATCTCAAACTGGCCGCCATATTGAAGTCATCATTTTTATGCTCCCTTGGATCACGGTTACAAAGCTAATTTTTTGGTCTAGTAGTAAAATTTTCATTGCTGATTTTGAGCACGACATACCGTTTCGGCGTCTCTTATGTAGCCGCCATAGATATATAGATTGAAAGATGTCCAATTTGTCACTACCATAGATACAAGTATGGCGGTACGTTGGAGATTGATTTATTGATTGCTAGCGTAGGCTTCCGCGGCCGGAGTTTATGTTGTCTAGGCTATCCGGGACGAGCCGCGTCACTGTCATGGTGGCTAACGTGTCGGTCAGCGTATTGTGGCCATCTTCAGAGCGTACTGCTGATTTACTGATTAATTACTAGCGATTCCGGGCCCATCAACGGCTAAGGTAATTAGAGACTTTTTTTTGCTTGGGAGGTGGCAGTGATCTTACCCCGATGGATGGCAAGATCGGGCGGCGACCTACCGTCGGCTCGCGGGGTTTTCCACACCTGGTATCTCCCACCAGCGGAACACTGCCCCAGCCGGTACAAGCTCTAAGCTCCCGACCGGTTTCCCGGCATATGTGGTAGTGTAGTGCATCTAATTGCAAGTGTGTGTAAGGGGTGAGGATAGGACAAAAAATGGGGAGGAAAGATCGCGCTCGGTTCGTAGCCCGTTTCCTTAGAGTTCTGTTCTGACATTCGCCTGGTTTGGATCGGATTTGGTTTGGAAACCACGGAAAATCACCATTGAGAGCAGCCGGACGTGACATCAATTGATGCCCTGAACCACCTCTCCCGGTCAATATGTTGGTCCGTCAAGCTCCCGTCCTATGATGCCCACTTGTCTAAAGGCGGCTCCACACTTTCGGTATTCGCCGAGCAGCTCGTCCAATCCCGAACAGCTGATGTATTCGGCGAAAGTTCGGCCCCTTTGGTGTGTCCAAAAGACTGACACGAAGTGGATAGGGCGAATACCGAATGTTCGGCGCTTGGCGAATCGCAAGCAACGCGTCCATACAACTCAGGATTCGGCGAGC